TGTATATGACTGGATTACTAGACATTGGATATGATGTGTGTGTGTGTGTGTATGTGTGCATGTGTGTGTGTGTGTGTGTGTGTGTGTGTGTGTGTGTGTGTGTGTGTGTGTGTGTGTGTGTGTGTGTGTGTGTGTGTGTGTGTGTGTGTGTGTGTGTGTGGGATTGTGTGTGTGTGTGTGTGTGTGCTGGGATTGTGTGTGTGCGTGTGTGTGTGCCTGGGATTGCGTGTGTGTGCATAAGTCTGTGTATATTATATGTGTATGTGTGTATGTTATATTTATTTTAAATTCGAATTGGCATTATGCTCGTTGAGAACTACCTGAATAACGCCCTTTGAGAACGCACATACGTTTTTAAAGAAAAAAAATGAATAAAGACGAGACAAAGATAAAAACAATCGATTTTCCGGCAACCCGAACCAGCGTCAAGCACGCGTAAACCTTCGGAATTTCACACCTATAGTCTATAAGCAATTCCCTGAGGCGCCAATTTCTCCCCCTTCCCCTCCCTCCTCCTCCTCCCCCCCCCCCTCCATTACAGTGCAGCTACGTGATTCCGCCTCGATACGCCTGCATGACACACTTCCGATATGTGTCAGCCTTGCATGACGTCTCTCGGGGATGGCTGCAGCTGCGTCCGGCGGTGGGTGTCTGGGGCTGCTGGGAATCGCAGCTTCTTGCCGGGGGGGGGGGGGGGGGTAAGAATATTGTTGTTTTTTGGTTATGCGTAATTGCGATGCTGTATGATGTATAAAGTGGGTATTGAGGGTTGTTGTTTTTTCGGGTGTTAATGATGTTTGGTTTTACGTAATTGCGATTCTGTATGATGTGTAAAGTGGGTTTTGATAACGTCTGATTTTGCGTGATTGCGATGCTGTATGGTTTATAAGGTGGGTATTGATAACATTTGATTTTGTGTAATTGCGATTCTGTATGATGTATGAAGTGGGTATTAATAATGTTTAATTTTGTGTAACTGCGATTCTGTTTAATTAAAAAATCTTGTATTAAAAACATTCAATTCTATCAGACTCTAAATATGTATATTCCCTATATCTATATACAGGTATGGGATCTCGATTTTTTTTTTCATTAAAAGAAGATAAAATTGAATGATCTTTCCTTGAATCTAAAAGAAAAAATCTTGTTTCACATGCATGATTAATAACGCTTGACTAATATCAAATTTCTCACGTCTGATATCAAAATTTCTCATAGAATATCCATTAATGATAAATATTTAATGTTCTGTGAATATCAAGTGCATGACAAGGAAAAAAAGAGGTAAAAGAGAAGACTAAGAGACAGAAAAAAATTATACATCATCATGCTTATGAGAATGGCAGTACAAAGTGTGTAAAAGTATATTCCGTGTGAATTTGCCGTTCTTCTCGTGTGCATGTTCTTAGCACGTTTGGCGTCAATTATACTGGCTGAACGGGACGCGGTGACGAAGGGAGTCTGGGAGAGTTATATGATGAACATTTTTTGTGTATATATGCATATATACATATATGCACACGCATACATACACGTTACATGTATCTATGTCTGTACACAACATACATACACATACACATATATATACACACACATAACACACACACACATATATATATATATATATATATATATATATATATATATATTATATATAATATATATATATAATATAGAGAGAGAGAGAGAGAGAGAGAGAGAGAGAGAGAGAGAGAGAGAGAGAGAGAGAGAGAGAGAGAGAGAGAGAGACAGACAGACAGACAGACAGAGAGACAGACAGAGAGAGAGAGACAGAGAGAGAGAGAGAGAGAGAGAGAGAGAGAGAGAGAGAGAGAGAGAGAGAGAGAGAGAGAGAGAGAGAGAGAGAGAGAGAGAGAGAGAGAGAGAGAGAGAGAGAGAGAGAGAAGAGAGAGAGAGAGGAATAGAGCAAAACTTCGCAGCAACACCCCCTCCCCTCCCCCCTTACCCTCCCTGTTTATTCGCTCACAAAGCCATGGCGGTGATGTCACGTTTGAGTTGTGTTTCTTCCATGGTAGACTTAAGAAATATAAAGATAAATGGTGATTCTCTTTCAAGTGCTTTCTCTTTATCATTTGTTATTGATATCTTTTTCTATACTTTTCTTTTTTCTATTTCTTTTTCATGTGTAACTGTAGCAGCTTATTGTTCCCATGAATGTTTTTGAGTCGTGGTCTGTGTATGGGTATGTATTTTGAATGTGTGATTGCATGTTTGTTTGTTTATGTAATTTTTGTATGTGTATGTATTCTATGTGCGTGTCAGTTTGTGTACATCTGTGCCGTGTGTCCTTCTGTCTGTGTGTGTATGTCTGAGAATTCATTAGATACACAACAAAACAGTATCTTTAAAAAAAGGAAAAAAAGGAAAATATACAATCCCCTGAAATTCACACTATCACTCGTGAAAATAAGATAATAAAAAACGAGATTACATGTAAAAAAACGCCATGAGCTTATGGAATACACATCATAGGACTTACGTCTCTGTGCGTGCGATGCGGCCATGACGAGTGCCAAGATGAAGAGACAGCGCAGAGTGCCAGTCCCGGTCATGTTGTGTCAGTCAGCTGATCTCTGATGAGGCACTGCTTCCTCGTCGATTGCTTGCTGTGTTATCTTTATATGGTGGTACTTGAAGATACCAAATGCGTTTCCATGTGGTATTTGCAGGTCGCGTTATGTTGATCGATCACATGACTTGAAAGATTTCATATAGACGGTGAGGGTTGATGAGGTATCGGTGAATGCCCGGTTCAGTTTTAGTTGGTTTTCATCAAGTTTAAGAGTCTTTACGCACAAATCACATTCGTCACTTTGTCCTATCCAATTAAGCTAATTATACCCTAATAATAATAAAAAAAAAAAGATTCTCCAGAGAAATGATATCAATATTTTTTTTCAGAAGCTCTCTAAGAAAGTAGATGCTAATTAATATAAAAGCCAGGACATTGACAGTCTTCCTCAACGTGCCGACTTTGACCCGAGATTCCCCCCCTCGCGTCAAGAGTGGAGAGTGACCGGCCGCGTGCGATCTCCCTGCTCCCGCGTGCTAGACTGAGGGACCCGAACATCACCCCGACACTCTCTCTTTCACACACACACACTCTCTCTCGCACCCGACGCACGTACGCACGCACCCACCCAACACTCTTTCTTTCGATTACGATTTCGGAGCGTGACGCGCGTGGCCGAAGGGGCTCTGAGGAAACAAAACAAGCATTTCTCTTCGTTTTTTTTTAATTTGCTTTTTTGTTGTCTTTGTTTTGTTTTGTTTTCCTTACTTGGCGAGGGAGAATGATGATGCTTTCGGTGGGTTATTTTCACCTGGCTTGTCATACTCTTCTGTGGGTTATTTACGCACTCACTTTCTCTCTCTCTCTCTCTCTCTCTCTCTCTCTCTCTCTCTCTCTCTCTCTCTCTCTCTCTCTCTCTTTCTTTCTTTCTTTCCTCTCTCCTCATCTCATTTCTTTCTTTCTCTCTCCCTTTTCCCTCTCTTCCTTTCCCCTCTTATCATCTCATCTCCCCTCTCATCTATTCCTCTCTATTTAGATTTAGAGAGAGAGAGATGGGGGAGGAGAGCCTCCCCCATCTCTCTCTCTCTAAATCTCTCCTTGTCTATCTAACTATCTATCTATGTTATCCTCTCTTTCTTATCTTTTTATATCATCTCATTTCTTCTCATCCCTCTGCTCTATCCTCACCTTTCTTTTCTTGTCTCATGTCCTTTCCCTTCTCCTTTTCTCTTTTCTCTCCCCACTTTCTCTATCTCACTCTCTCTATCTATATGTCTGTCTATTTTTTCTCTCTCTCCATTCCTCTCTATCCTAGACTTATTTCTCCCTCCTCCCTTTCTCCTCATCATCCACTCCTGTTCTTCCATTCCTATCTCCCTATTCACTTCTCCTCTCACTCTCGAGGAGAGGACGAGAGCACCCTCTCCCTCTCCCCCTCTTTCTTTCAGGCTTATTTCTCTCTCCTCTTATCCTCTTCTTCCTCATCTATCCATCTCTTCTGTTCATCCATATCCATCTGTCTTTTCGCGTCTTCTTCCCGTCTACCTTCTTCATTCCGCTCTTGCATTCCCATCTCTCTCCTCACGTCTTCTCTCATTCCTCATTTTCGTGAAGCATCCCCTCTCTTTTTCTCCTCTCTATCTCAGAATTATTTCTCTCTTCTTTCTTCCTTTTCTTCCTTATCTATTCATCCACTCACGCCTTCTCCCTTTCCTCACTCACGAGAGAGCCTCCTCCCTCTCTCTGTCTTAGAGTTATTTCTCCCTCTGCTCTTCCTCCTCATCTGTCCACCCTTTCCGCTCTTCCATCCTCATGTCCCGCTTCACCTCTTCTCCCTTTCCTCATTCTCGAGAAGAGGACGAGAGCATCCTCTCCCTCTTACTATTTCCCCTCTTTCTCTCAGGCTCATTTCTCTCTCCCTTTCTCTTCTTCCTCATTTATCCATCCCTTCTCTTCAATTCCCATCTCTTTGTTTACGTCTTCTCCCTCTCCCCCTCTTTATCTCAGGCTTATTTCTCTCTCCCTTTCTCTCCTTCCTCATTTATCCATCCCTTCTCTTCAATTTCCATCTCTTTGTTTACGTCTTCTCCCTTTCCTCTCTCTCGAGAAGAGGACGAGAGCGCCTCCTCCCACGACACGCCCAGGTCCTCATCACCCGGGCGACTGATCGAGCCAGCTGGCGGTCTTGGCTCTCACTCTCAATAGGGCCTCGTTTATGACGTCATCGTGACTTATATAAGTATTTCTTCCCGTTCATAATCTCTTGTTCCAATCAGCTGTTTATTGGTATTTCATTCGTATGCGGTACCAGAGCCATTTACCTGTAAGCAATTATCTTGAGAAATTATCTTTAACATTGACATTGTGTTTTGTGTTCCATGGGTAATGTCAAAGATATTTTGAGTTTTTTTTTTTTTGTATTAGAGTGATACGAAAACGTGGTCGTGCGATCGTAATTTTGTTTTTA